AATCACAAAATTGCATGGGTTAAATTTTTGTGTTCCCTCCTGTTAATTTTGTGTTCCCAGTACGTTCCCTCCTGTTGATTACAACACATCGTCACTCTAGTTCTAGTTAGAATAGTAGTTATCATGATTCATCATCTTAGTCATCATACATAATAATCATAAAATATTTTTTTTGCAAAATAGTGAATATGAAGCTTATTTTAGATATCGTGAAAAAGATTTTAAATTAGTAGAATATTTGATATATCATTTGTTTTATGGGAAAATTACACATTTCAATTATAATGAAAAAAAAGAGGAATTTTATAAAGCTTATAATTTATATAAAAAAAAATATGAAGGTGGAAAACCCGAATTGATATCTGAGGTAAATATAAAAAACATTAAATACATAAATAGAGTACTTGAAATGATAATTTACGTTAGGCAGTTGGAATGAATTTAGTCAGTATTAATAGTTTGCTTATGATGACATGTTTACTTTGTTGAGCCTCTATTCTCAAAAATCCTGACAGGAATTTAATAATCTTCTAAACAATTAATACTATATTTTAGACAAATAAAACTGAACATAGACTTGTGTGATCAATAAGTATGTAATTTCAGTTTGAGAATACTGACTATAATATTTTATTTAATTAATATAGGCTGATAAAATGTCTCTAGAACCATTTATAAATTTACTAGTTCAAATAAAAAATAATTTTACTAAGAGCCATGTACTTTCAATAAGAGTAATTAATAAATTAAAAGAATTTGGATGGGTTGACATCAATCCTTTAGAAAATGAGGATGTATCAAGTGCATATAAGAGATTAAAAATGGTAAGAATCTGTTATTGATTATTTGACATGCGATAAACTTTGTATTGATTATTCATCATATTTAATATTTATTACAATTAGTCTTCAAGGTCCTGCAACAAAATTTTAAACATAATTGGTAACAACATTAATAACATAATTTTGGAGCCAGATGATCCGTTGTTATCTGGTATTTTAGATATACAACATATCAAAGAAAATAAATACAGCTTATATTCTTTGTTAAAAAAGTGCACCATGTGGGATGAATTTATAGCAACAACATTAAACAATTACAAGCTTTCAGAGTCTTTAAAAATGCTAATTAAGGAAAATTACAATGGAACATATTTTGATTCTTCACTTTTTGTCACAACTGAAGAAAAATTGGAATATTTAAAAACATTAGGATTGATTGGAAAAATATAAATATATTTTTTATCTTTATCTTTCAGCATATTCAAAAAATAACCTTTTGACTCTGATTATTTATTAGAAAAAAATATGGGCAAATAATGAATATAAGAAAAGATCAAAACATATTAATGAATTAACATTTTCCCATGATTTCATGGAAAGTTATATGGATTTTTTGATAGATGATAATGATTTATTTATAAGATGGTTAGGTTTTATTTATTTTATTTATTTATTTTCTATAAATTTATGTCAAATTTTTATATATATCATTCAATTAGGGATCATGGGCAAAGCTTGGCAGCCAAAGATCGAGGTGTGTTAAATACAATTGATGTATTAGGACCTTTTAATACTGACGATTTAAATGTGCAAGAAATATTTTTTGGTGAATTGTCAAATGGTCCATTTGCAACTGATCTAACACATGTAAAGAATGACAATACAAAACTTGGTAAACTTGGAAAAGATTCATTAGATCGCATCAAGAGGACATTATTCATACAAGACATTTCAATAATTTTGATGGTTAGTTGAATTTTGAACTATAAATTCATTCTCTCAGAAGCTTATTAATATGTACTTCAATATTTTTAGGTGAAGAAATATTTTTTTATTTAATAGACCAAAAATATTGTATCCCATTTTATCGAAGAATCCTCATATCTAAGATCAAAATACCTATGTTTAATACAACCAGCAAAATGTCATTTGTGAAATTTTTTGAAGAATCTTACAAGTTGAAAATCTTACTTGGAAAATTTATTGATGATTCAAAAAGCAAAATTTACAAAATTCAAAGTGAAATAAATGTTGATAATGAATATGATGAATGTTTTGAAACATTTAGCACACCATAGTTATGAGGAGCAGATGAATTATTTTTTAGATTATTTTAATTGCTGATTCGCGAATGAATTGGAGAAATGATCAACATTTTAATATAAAATTTTTATGCTAATTGTTATTAATAAAATGTGAAAATTCCCAAATCTCACCATCCTCACACAATAACTCTCATGTCTACACAAAAAGTATAAAGAACAACCTTAGAATTCTTTCAAGATCGTTGAATACTACTTTAAAATTCTTTTGCAGTTACTTTATTGACTTGACTTATAACAACATGTGGTTCATTTGGTAAAATAAAAGTTTTTTTGTTGATAAACCGATAAAAAAAAAAGTATAGCCCTGGTCAGAATACTTGATAGTGTTGGCTGAAAATTAAAAAATTCCAAATTTTTATATGTTGTGAACTTCTTGAAATCTCAGCTTCCTACATATAAACGTTTTCAAGAAACATTCCAAACCCTTTAATATTTTGATACAATAATCTATGAGATTTACTTTATATATTACATAAAAAGAATAAAGTTTGTAATACCAAAACATTGTGCCTTATTATTTGTTAAACATTGTCAACTGACGATTTTTTACCATTTTTGCACACACCGATCACTATAAGAATTCTCTGGTTCATTCGCGGATCGTCAATTAATGATTTTGATAGTCCAAAGTCAATACACTTCAAATTTTCTTGATTTTTAATAATTAACAAAGAAATAGGAAATTGAAATTTGCACACATAAACACTAATTTTAAAATAAAAAAATCAGTTTTACTGTTTTAGTATAATAATGATTTTCTTCAATAACTCTCTTTTATTTATTAAGATAATAATTTTCCACGATTTTATCTTAGACAATTATTTTTCATGGAACCAGTTGAGGATTTTATTTTCTCTTTTATATCAATTCTGCTTTTCTATCCATTTTGCTTGTCACAGTACCAATTTTAGAATCTCTTCAATTTTAAAATAAATAAAAACCTACAAAGTGACATGAAATTATAAAATTATATATATAGGGATAAGTGTATATGAAAAGTAATAGTAAATATAATGGTTCTACTTAATATCAAAAAGCCATTGATTTTTTAGAAAAAGGTTGTGATTGTGGTTGTTCTTCAAGAATTCCCAAGGAAGAATTTGCAGAATTAAGAGAATCCTTTCAAGCTCTTTCTAAAACAGAACAAGACATATTTTTAATGGCTCAACTTAAAGCAATGGATGGTGGATCAATAAGCACTAGTAGACGCCTTAAAAAGAAAACTAGATCTAATAAAAGAACTTTCTACCATTGGGATCACAATACACTTCTTTGTCAAGAAACTTATCTCAATATGTTGGGAATTGGCAGGACTTATTTTGAAAACATTAGAAATCATTTGATAAACAATGGTCTTTTACCAAGAATTCATGGTAATATTAAAAGGATGCCTCAATGGAAAACTAAGATGGTGATTGATAAAAATGTTGCAGAAGTAGTAAAGAATTTTCTAGAAAATTATGCAGAAGTCCATGGATTACCAAG